AAAATAAAACTCAAGTGGCAGTTTAAAAGTATGTCATAAGACCACTGTGAAGTCCTGGCATAGCAATGATGGTCAGGAAACCACAAGCCCCCAGCACAGCCAACCCCAAGCACCAAAGGAGGGAAGAAGAGGAAGGCCCTTGTCCACCCAGGTCCAGAGGCAGTATCAAGGTGCCTAAGATAATCATGAAGGTAAAAAGGACCATTCAAAAGAGTTCAATGACCACCACTTCAGGAAAACCTAAGAAAGGGAGAGGGCCAACATTATTCAGTAACTATGACCAGCTGAATAAGGAAATCAATCAAAATGAGCCACAGCAGAACCAGGACTCCACCACCTGGGGAAGTCAGTAACTTTAGAGTGAGGCCAGAGATGTCAGAAGTATCTGCGAAGTCTCCAGAAGTCTGGTCACTGGAAAACTGCCAACTGTGTAGACAGCAAATTTTACACCAACAGGTGCACACAGGTTACACGATGGTGATGAAAATAAATCACAGCTTGATGCCTGTGGCTCAAGTGGCTAAGGCACCAGCCACATACGCCTAAGGTGGCAGGTTTGAATCCAGCTCAGGCCCTCCAAACAACAATGATGGCTGCAAAAACAACAAAAAGAAATAGCCAGGCGTTGTGACGGGTGCCTGTGATCCCAGCTACTTGGGAGGTGGAGGCAGGAGACTTGCTTGAGCCCAGGAGTTGGAGGTTGCTGTGAGCTGTCCAGGAGGACAGCTTGAGGCTCTGTCTCAAAAAAAAAAAAAAAGAAAAGAAAAGAAAAGAAAATCAACATCTTATGAAAAGTAGATAAAAAATATGATTCAATATTAGGAAGAGAGAGGCATTTGAAGACAAAATCATAGATGCTAAAAAGGCATTTTGTACTGTTCAGCATCTATTACTCAAAGTCTCTAAAAAAAACAAAAGTGGCTTGGTGCCTGTGGCTCAAGTGGCTAAGGCGCCAGCCACATACACCTCAGGTGGCGGGTTTGAATCCAGCCCGGACCCGCCAAACAACAATGATGGCTACAACCAAAAAATAGCCAGGCGCTGTGGTGGGCACCTGTGGTCCCAGCTACTTAGGAGGTGGAGGCAGGATACTCACTTGAGCCCAGGAGTTGGAGGTTGCTGTGAGCTGTGATGCCACAGCACTCTACCCAGGTAGGGGACAGCTTGAGGCTCTGTCTCTAAAAAAAAAGAGATAGATGGATATTTTCCTCACAGCTGAGAAATCTTGGGCGGCACCTATGGCTCAGTGAGTAGGGCGCAAGCCTCATATACTGAAGATGATGGGTTCAAATCCAGCCCTGGCCAAAATGCAACAAAAAAATAGCTGGGCATTGTGGCGGGCTACTCAGGAGGCTGAGTCAAGGGAATCACCTAAGCCTAAGAGCTGGATGTTGCTGTGAACTGTGACACCACAGCACTCTACTGAGAGTGACAAAGTGAAACTCTGTCTCTAAAAGAAAGAAAGAAAGAAAGAAATCTCAAGCCAAAGGCAGTGTTGAATTTAATGTGCAAATACTCAATGTTCTGCTATCAAAGTGAGGAATGGAGTAAGAATACCCATTGCTTGCCTCTGGCCCCATAATTTAACATCGTCTAAAGGTGTGTTTTGAGACAGCGTCTTGCTCTGTTGCCTGGGCTAGAGTGTAGTGGTATCATCATGGCTCACTGCAGCCTCAAACTCCTGTGTTCAAATGATCCTCCATCTTCAGTCACCCAAGTATGTGGGATTACAGGCATGAGCCATGATGTCTGGCTAATTTTTCTGTTTTTTTGTAAAAATGGGGTATCAATATGTTGCCCAGGTGGGTCTCAACCTTCTTGGGCTCAGCACAACTGGAGACAAAAAAGAAAGGGAAATGAAACCTTCTCTGAGGAAGACAGATGAATGGCTAACAAACATAAGAAAAAATGTTTATTGTCTCTAATCATCAGAGAAATGCAAATCAAAACTACACTGAGATATCACCTAACCCCAAAGAGAACAGCCCACATCCCAAAATCCCAAAGCTGCAGATGCTGGCATGGATGTGGAGAGAAAGGAACACTCTTTTTTTTTTTTTTTTTTTGAGACAGAGCC